CGGGCGAATCACGAGGTCAGGAGATCAAGACCATCCTGGCTAACACGGTGAAACCCCATTTGTACTAAAAATACAAAAAAAAATTAGCCGGGCGTGGTGGCGGCGCCTGTAGTCCCAGCTACTCGGGAGGCTGAGGCAGGAGAATGGCGGGAACCCGGGAGGCGGAGCTTGCAGTGAGCCGAGATCGCGCTGCTCACTCCAGCCTGGGCAACAGAGCAAGACTCCGTCTCAAAAAAAAAAAAAAAAAAAAGAGAGGAGTAGATCCAACAAGCATCAAGCATTATAAAGCAAAACATCGCCGAAAACCAGTTTACTCCAAAATAGACACATGGCATTATTTAATTTTTTTCCCAAATACTCAGAGAACCTAAGTAAAAGCCTTAGCAATTTACCTTTCACTGAGAGGAACTAGCTGGACTGTACATTTTCAGAAAACCCTTTCTTCAAAGTCCATGTAAGGAAAAACTAATTTCCGAGACAGCCCTGCTTCCGAGGTTGTTTCTCCTGTGGCATCTCCTCTCTGTTGGCAGTGATTTAATAAAACACACGAATATGACCCTGTTGTGAGCCAAGTCAGGCCTGACCTTGAGCCGGGGCCACCTGGTCCCCTCTGCTTCACTCTCACCATTGCCCACTCCTGGGGCTTCTTTTCTGCTAATGGTTCATTCCAGAAGGTTTTTCCCTGCCATCCCCCAGAAGGTCAGACCAGCCCAGACACCCCCGGCCTTCCTGATCCTTCTGCTTTGGGGCAACCCCTGGCAGGCCCCTCCCCTTCCTGGGACCACCGTTTCTGGGGCCTTTCCAGCCAAACCATGCCAGGGTGAGCCTCGGCTGGTGACACTCCATAGTCCCCTCATGACCACACCTAAATCAGCAAAATAAAGTCATTGGTTCTTAGAGATAATTTAAAACACAGAGGCATTTCCTCAGGCAGTGGGATTTGAGTTTCAGCGACGTGCTTCTGTCCTTCGTCCTTCTGCTCTCAGATGTTGCGGCTCCTTGGCGCCACAGTGACGTGGCGGGTACGCAGTGTGTGTGTTGGGGGGCGATGGTGTGAGCCAAAGTGACACATGGCGTGGTTCTGGGCTCCACAGGGAAAATGGCAGAGCCCTGTTCCTCCACATGCATCTTTCTCAGACACCCCTGAGTCCTGCCCGCCATCGCGTTTGTGGCTTGTCCTTCAGCCCCGCTCCTGGCTGCTCCTGTGAGGGGTGGAGGCCAGTGGGGGTGCATCCCTGCCCACCCTCAGAGCACTCCATCCTCCAGGACGTGGCCCTGGACTTTCCAGGAAGCAGCTGCGAATCTTCCGGAAGCTGGGAGGGCTGTTTCCCAGTAGCCACCACTTCCCTGTGGCTCCAGATGTGATGTCTTCGCATTTCTGACATCACCCTGGATGTCAGACCAATTTTAATCGACTTCTCACGTTTCTCAAGTTCTTGCTGGAAGGATTGGGAGCGTCCTTTGGTGACTGGGCAGCTGTGATGCAGGCCACACCCACCTTGCTAGGCTCAAAGGTACCCGTTCTCTGCCCACCGCCAAGCAGGGCCACTGGCTTCACCTTGACCCCCACTGACGCTTCCTAAGCAGGCTCAGTGTCCAGGGCCCAGGCGTGGCCTGCAAGGCTGGTGGGGGGCACCTTGCCGCTCCCTCTCCTTCCTGGCTCTCAGTCCTCCTGAGCTGCGTGTCCCCAGTGTTCTCTTCCAGAAGTTTCATTGTCCTTGTGCAGAGCAGAGCACCTGGAAGACACTCTGGGACATGCATTGTGCCCCAGTTCAGCACTAGGGTGGTGGCTCTGCCCCCCAGGCCTGACTGCTGCACGATAACATGGGCCTGACAAATCCCAGGGTGCAGAGAACCCAGGGCTGGTGCAGGACGGCACTGCCCCCGCGCAGGCTCGTGCCCAGCCTTCAGTAAATACAGTTTTAGTTACTGAATGACAGTGGATGGTGGAGCCCATGGAGGGTGTGATGAACACCAAGCGGGGCCTAACACAGACTCAGCATCCTCAGGGAGGCAGGAGGTGGAGAGGAGCGCCCAAAGTGTGGGAGGAGGTGACGGGGTCGGGGGCAGGCATCCTTCCTGTGAGAGCTGAGGTAACATCAGTCGATGAGCGAGCACTCCTGAGTTAGCGAATAGAGAACAAATCCCCGAAATAACAGCATGTGTCTACACATGCTCACACGTGCCAGGCACTGCTCTGAGACAGTAACTCAGTTAATGCTCACAATTCTGCTCTTATCCTCATCCGATAAGTAGAATAATTTGCCTGGGCATGCAGCAAATGAGTGGTGGACCCGAACCATAACCTATGTAAGCCCACGTGCTTGACCTGAATTCAGAGGATTTGAAACCCAGGGCTCAGAGCTTTACAGTGCACAGTCCAGACCGTGGGGCTGATGTGTGATCCAAATCTCTGGGGCAGAGCTTTTCTCCGTGCTCTAAAATTCTGCTCTTAAGGCCACGTGAGAGGTGTATGTGTGTCTATGTTTGTGTCTATATATATGTATATGTAAAATATATACACATAGGTGTATATACATTTTGGTTTCTATGTTTTAGATCAGATAGACCCTGTCTGGCATTCTGATTTAACCTCACCTGTTTCCACACATCTGTGCACTAAAACAACACATATATTTTTTCCTTTCCGGAGCTTGTCTTCAAGAGTAGCTGGTACAGAAACCCAGGAAGAAGGGCCTTGGGTCGGTTCTTCCCTCTCCTTCCTCCTTCTTTCTCCTTTAAATCCTACCTCTATTTGCAGATCGTATAATCTGTATGTTAACTCCGTAATCCGGGTTACCTCTGTAACGTACTGTATAATCACTACAAATTTGATAGTGTCACGCTTTTCTTGACTTTCAGAACATATCCACTGTCAAGGTATTTGACATGACCTCTTCCTTTGTGAAGTGAGGCCTTCTCTTAGCATAATTTTAGACCCTACATGGATTTTATTAATCTGCACTGTTGCTACTCAATGTTCTGCTAGTGTGGTCAATCCATTTATAGGCAAACTTGGGAATGATTGTATTTTGGAAGCAAATAGAAATGAATCACCTTGGCCGGGCGCGGTGGCTCAAGCCTTTAGTCCCAACACTTTGGGAGGCCGAGACAGGCGGATCACGAGGTCAGGAGATCGAGACCATCCTGGCTAACATGGTGAAACTAAACATACAAAACATACTAAAACATACAAAAAACTAGCCGGGCGAGGTGGCGGCGCCTGTAGTCCCAGCTACTCGGGAGGCTGAGGCAGGAGAATGGCGGGAACCCGAGGGGTGGAGCTTGCAGTGAGCCGAGATCCGGCCACTGCACTCCAGCCTGGGCGACAGAGCGAGACTCTGTCTCAAAAAAAAAAAAAAAAAAAAGAAATGAATCACCTTACACCTGTGGAAAGCCAATCGTGAGAGTCTTACATTTTAAGATAGTTTATTGTGATAAAAACCTGGGAGTGTTTGGGGTTTTGTATGTTTGTTATTGGATGAATATAACCTTAGAGTTTAACACATTTTAATATAAATGTGCACATGTGTTCATAAATATGACATACTTAAGTCCTGTTGTAGATTAAACTGTATTACGAACCACTTCACAGTTGTAAGGTCAAAATATCTTTTCTGGTGGACAGATAGAAATGTTACAAAAGATAGTTTTGTCCATCTTAGCATTATTTGTAACCATGATTTACCTGTTGGACCCAACTAAAGACAAGTAAAGAATCTGAGGAAGGTCTTTTAGGTAATGAATGAAATATCTTTTTAAACTCCTTTTTCTCTAATTAAAGTGGATCGCAGCTTCTGAAAAGCTTTAACGAGCTAGACAATACAAAATTTAGATAATTTAATTTGAGATCATAATTTAGGCCTCAGAAAACCTGAGAGGTCTATCCATTAATAGCCAATGACGACACAGAGGCACAGCTAATTGGCGAGGCAAGTGGCTGCTTGTTTGAAGTTTCGGCAGAGAGTTAGCTACTGATCTGCACCATAGGCCTCACCTGACATTGACATTCCACTCGCCATTTTTCATGTATTTTACTTAACTGATGTATTTTTCTTTGAAATTTTTAACTATTCACATTTGTTTGTGAGAAGAATTACATCACAGCATTTAGGTCCCAATGTTTTGCGTATCACGTGAGTGGATTATCAATCATACATTGTGTCTTACTTCACAAGCATTTAGTGCACACTCATGAGAAAAAATTATGGCAAAGTGTGAAAAACTTACTTGGTCTGTTTTAGGACATTTTAAATACATAAGATGCAGAAGAATACTGAGGCATATCTGATTGGGTGGATCTCAACAGACATACTAGAATTTGGTTGATATTCAGGGAAAGTGAACGTGTCTAAAGAAGGGGCTCCGAGTTGTATGATTCTTATTTATAAAAGAAAAACAGTATATAGTTTTATAACATACTGTATAGTTGGATAGCAGTGGAGCTAGTTAAAATTGCTGCATACTTTTGTAATTATGTTTTGTTTGTGAACTTTAAAATCCATTACCTAGCCAAATATTTATGTGTATGTGTATTTTAAAGCATTTTTAATGTCACATGACAAATAGCTAGAAAACTTTCTTTAGCAGAATATTACTAGTGTATTCTCTTTCTTCCTCTTGTGAGTACTTTATAATTAGAATAAATATCGTTAATGAAAATGCTTATCTGAGGTCAGATTTTATTTAAAAAATAAAATAGGGGAAAACCACTATAAAAAAAAAAAAGGACATTTGGAAATACTTGTTGGAATCCTAGGCGGCTTAGAGGTTCTATAGAGCAATGGGAATCCAAGGGTAGAGAACCATTTCGTATTTAGGAAAAGCTTCTGTTATCAACGAGGTCACATTAGCAATCACAGGGGTAGATTTCAACGTGCCGGTGAAGACTGGCAGGGTGAGAATTATCTCTCCCCCTGGAGTCTTCCTGTGGTTTTCAGGCCAGCCACACCTCTTTGCCCCATGTGAGAATTCAGACATCTACAGTTATTGAAACTTACCTTTAAGCTCTGTCTTTATTTGACATCGTTGCGTGAGGTGCAGATTCCAGCTTCTATCTTAGGAAGTCTACCTCAGAGCACCAGGCCTCACCAGCAGCCAGACTTAACCACCTGCACACACAGCTTCTCCCTGTTGGCATGAAACACACCAACAGTTGGGATGATGGCTTGAGGAATTTGGATTTTGTTGAGACCTGTGTGTTTTAATGTTTTGGTATTTTACTTAGTTCCTTGTTTTAAGTTGTTCCATTTTAAACTTGAGCATTTTGTTTTATAGTTAGAGTGCTTGAACTTCTAACTAATATGCAGTTGACATTGTTCTAAGTTATGAAAAAGGCAAAAATACAGTGCTACATACATGTGACTTTATGAAAACTTTTTTTGTTTTTTAACCTTAATCAAATTTTTCATTAATGCTTAAGTAGAATATATTAGTATTTTAAAAGCGGATTCACAGTCCATTTGAGTCGGAAACCATTCTTGGCCCACAAACCCAGTTTCCCTCAGAGGCCGTGAGAGGGAGCTGTTGAACCTTAAATGAATTGTGTTTGACCTTTAACAGTCAATCAGGCTGAACTATTCAGATAATCCATCTATAAAATTTAACTTACATTGTAATGAACAGTAGTATGATTTTTCATTTATATTAAAGCAAAAGTTATGCAGTTAATTAAGAGACGCTTCAGTTAAATTCAGTAAATACTTTTTAGTGCATATTATTTACAAGGCACTTTATGCTAAAAAGGGGCATAAAAATAAATAATTTGGGCCGGGAGAGGTGGCTCATGCCTATAATTCCAGCACTTTGGAAGGCCGAGGTGGGTGGATCACAAGGTCAGAAGTTCAAGACCAGCCTGGCCAAGATGGTGAAACTCTGTCTCTACTAAAAATACAAAAATTAGATGGGCGTGGTGGTGGGTGCCTATAATCCCAGCTACTCAGGAGGCTGAGGCAGATAATTGCTTGAACCCAAGAGGCGGTGGTTGCACTGGGCCGAGATCGATCCACTACACTCCAGCCTGTGCGACAGAGTGAGACTCCATCTCAATAAATAAATAATTTGAGTGACTCATAAACGTGTGCATGTGTGCGCGCACCTGCATTATAAAGTAGATCACAATATGTAAGAAAAGTGTATTGAGTTTTCACAGAGAGGAAAGTATTAGGAGAGGCAGGAGAGAGGAGCTGGCCTCTAAGAAGGGCTGGAGCATTTCTGGGAGTTGACAGAGAGTGGGGAGTATTCCGAGTGTGGAGCACAGCATAAGGAAAGAAGGTTGGAGAATCCTGAAGATGCCAGTTTGCTCAAAGCATAGCTTGCGTAAAGATGATTGAGAGACTATCAGGCCTGGGCAGACAGTGACTTGCACCTGTAGTCCCAGCTCCTTGGGAGGCTGACTCAGGAGGATCACTTGAGCCCAGGAGTTTGAGGCTGCGGTGAGCTATGATTGTACCACTCTACTCCAGCCCGGGTGACAGAACGAGACCTTGTCTCTTAACAAAAACTATAAAAATTAAAAGCCAGTATCAGGCAGAAAAGCCAGGTTGGGCTGCATGGTAATCACACATAAATGCCCAAGGACTCACTTGTCTCTCATTGTTTTCAATGTCAACATTTGACCAAATGATCTCTTCTTAACCTGTGAATGTATATGCTGTGCATTGGGCATTATTCACCAGATGTTAATTGAAGTCATGCTCTATGAAGGTTGTTGGAAAACCTTTTTTTTTTTTTTTTTGAGACGGAGTCTCGCTCAGTCGCCCAGGCTGGAGTGCAGTGGCGTGATCTCGACTCACTGCAAGCTCCGCCTCCTGGGTTCACGCCATTCTCCTGCCTCAGCCTCCCGAGTAGCTGGGACTACAGGTACCCGCCACCACGCCCGGCTGATTTTTTATATTTTTAATAGAGATGGGGTTTCACTGTGTTAGCCAGGATGGTCTTGATCTCCTGACCTTGTGATCCGCCCACCTCAGCCTCCCAAAGTGCTGGGATTACAGGCGTGAGCCACCACCGCACCTGGCCAGTTGTTGGAAAATCTTAATGTTTCTTTTCTCTTTTCTGTCTATCCAAGGCTGGAGTGCAATCTCGTCTCACTGCAGCCTCCACCTCCCAGATTCAAGCAATTCTCCTGCCTCAGCCTCCTGAGTAGCTGGGACTACAGGCACCTGCCATCGCGCCTGGCTAATTTTTGTATTTTTAGTAGAGACGGGTTTTCACCGTGTTGGCCAGGCTGGTCTCGAACTCCTGACCTCAGGTGATCCACCCAACCTCAGCCTCCCAAAGTGCTGGGATTATAGGCGTGAGTCACTGTGCCCGGCGAAAAATCTTAATGTTTCTTAACTGCAGTATTCTGAAGCTGATAAAGCACTTGTAAAACTTTCAAAATAATTGAAAACCATTTTCTTTTTAAGATAGAAATGTGTACTTCTTAGCATGCTAGAAGTAACTTTAAATTTTTAAAGTAATGTTATTTAATGAGTACAGAGTTTCAGTTTTGCAAGACAAAAACCTTATGTCTTACAAAATAGTGCGAAAATATACTTAACACTACTGAGCTGCACACTTGAAAGTGGTTAAGATGGTGAATTTTAAGTTATATGTTTTCCGCCACAATTTTTAAAAACTAAAGTAAGATTTTTTTTGGAGCTAAAACAAAAAGAAAGCATCTACAGGAAGTGGAATGAATTTAGCTCTTATGTTTTCTGGCAGCATGTGGGAGGATTTGGGGTCACCATTGTGGGCCACGTTGTTTTCACTGATGACTACTTCTGCAGAAACATAAGTTTTCCTGGAATTAGACTCAAGAAAATGTAGGAGGCAGGCTCTTGTAGAAGAAGAAACACTGGATCATGTGCTGGACAAAAACTTCAGTTTCCGTTTTCTAAAAAAAAACTATATAGAGTTTGTTCAAATACACTTGAATCTTCTTTTTTTATTATTAGTATACTTTAAGTTCTAGGGTACATGTGCACAGCGTGCAGGCTCGTTACATAGGTATACATGTGCCATGCTGGCCCGCTGCATCCATCAACCCATCATTTACATTAGGTATTTCTCCCAATGCTATCCCTCCCCCAACCCCCCATCCTACGACAGGCCCCGGTGTGTGATGTTCCCCACCCTGTGTCTCATTGTTCAGTTCCCACCTATGAGTGAGAACATGCAGTGTTTGGTTTTCTGTCTTCGTGTTAGTTTGCTCAGAATGATGGTTTCCAACTTCATCCATGTCCCTGCAAAGGACATGAACTCATCCTTTTTATGGCTGCATAGTATTCCGTGGTGTAGATGCAAATGCACTTGAATCTTCTTTGAAAGCTGTTGACATTAAGGCATAGCTCAGTAAATTCATTTCTCTGGAGTGAAGATATAACTGATTTGGATACTTTACTTTTTATTTTATAATTTAAATAGAAAAGTAGGGAATAGTGAGGGTGGTTTCATAGTGTGGCAAGCCGAATAATAGTCCCTGGAAGATGTCCATGTCCTGTTCCCTGGCATTTGTGAATATGTTACTTTCAATGGTAAAGAAGAATTAGGTTGCAGATGGACTTAAGGTTGCTAATCAGCTGATCCTAAAATAAGGAGATGATCCTGGATTATCTGGAAAGCCCAATGTAATCACAAGCCTCCTTAAAAGTGGAAGAGGGAGGCTGGACAGGAGGCCCGAGAGATGCAGTGTGAGAACCCGATCTGACATTGCTGGCTTTGAAGGTGGAGGCCATGAGCTTATGTCAGGCACTGTAGATGCAAAAATAGCTAAGACCTCATATGACCTGCCCTTGGGGAATTTATAATCTTGGACCTTCTCTCTCCCTTAAACAATCCTCAGTCAACACTAGAAAATTACCTTTCTTATATCTACATCCAGCATTCTGCAGTTAATTTCAGAGCAGAGGATATTGACTTTGGACACCTTCTGGATTTCCAAGATATTCTCTGTACCATATTTACAAGTTATCACATTAGGTGAGTTCCTTCTTTGGGTCAACGTTTTCCTTCATTTTTGGATAATTCTTCACCCACAGTTGTCCTCTGTGTTCTAAGTTCTGACAATGATTCTTTGCTTGGCCAAACTTTAGTCTAGCTTCTGAATCTTCTGCTACACCCATCTGTTTAGTTCCTTGTAAATTCCATTTTTGCAAGAACGCTGGTACGTCAGTTTAGTAAGAACACCCCATGCTTAATATCTGATTATCCTCCACCATCCCCCGGGTGACGTCTGATCACCCGAGTTTTCTTCAGCAAGAATTCTGGTAGGCTGGTTCAGCTACAGCCCCACTCACCCTGACATTTCCTCTTAGTGGTGTTCTGTCCGCTGACTCCCACCCTGCTCCTTGGCTATCAATTCCCACTTGCCTGTGCTCTATTCAGCATCGAGCCTGCTCTCTCCCGCCATGGCAACACCACATCGCAGTGGTCCCTATACCCATCGCAGTGGTCCTGAATAAATTCTTTCTCACTGTGCTGTAACAAGTGTCATAGAAACATTTCTTCTTTAACAATCCACATGGTATTACTCTTAACAACCACTCATATGGCATTAGCAGGAAATGGAATGTTGTTGGAATCAGTTCAGCTCTGTCTCTGCCAGAGATTTCACAAGGAGTCATTACAAATATGTTGGGTTTCCTTTATGCTTCTTCCTATCCTTTTTGCGGTAATGGAGAGTATAGAAGGTTTTGGTTGAAAATAAGGCATTAGGAGCTTGCAGTGAGCCGAGATGGCACCACTGCATTCCAGCCTGGGCGACAAGAGTGAGACTCTGTCTCAAAAAAAAAAAAAAAAATATATATATATATATATATATACACACACACACGCATATATATAAAACATAAACAATGCCCAATAAAGTATAGGATGCTAATTTCTTAGAATTTTATTATGAATGTGATATTATTTGCCAGATAACTCATGTATTTTGAGATAAATGTTAAATAAATGAAAGTTGATGTGTCATGCAGAGCTCTATTTCTTGGCAAGAAAGCTGATGGGGTAAAGACGGCCACAGTTGCTTTGAACTCTCCCCATTGAGAAGTGGAGTTTATCTTCCCACAGCCTGAATTTAGCCTGGCCCTGTGAATGCTTTAAGCCACAGATGATGGCAGAACGGTGCTGTGCCCATTGTCAGC